GAGTCTGACCCGTGGGGTAACACCAGAATCTACACCTCCCTGATGGGCTGCTTTGTGGACAACAAGGTTTGTTTTGAGCTAAAGTGGTTTAACAGCATTCAATGTAATTTTCTACCAAGTTTAGCTGTGCTAATTCTGTCAAGTGACTGAATTAATGGCTCAACAAACACATGGTTGCTCCCATTTTTGTGTTTCCCTGAATTTATTTGTAACCCCTTACCGTTAAAAGACCCAAAGTACATTTCCCTTTTTTGTTTGGTACATCCCTAAAATATTAGCACTGCTCCACTCAAAACTGTATTCCTCAATTAATCTACTAGGTACTTTCTTGACTTGTTTGTTACATACACAAATATCCATTTAGACTTCAAATGTGTCCCTGAAGGCAAGGATATTACATTTTCAATGACAAAGAAGCTGGAACCAAAGAATATTAGGGAGTTTCACTTAATTTAGTTTTTTTTATATTTATAGGATGATGCTACATTTAACGTTGGCTTGAGACTCAAGATGTACGGCGAGAATCCATCAGACGTGGTCAGTCATGACGTGTCTCAGACTTGCAGCTACACTCGCTGGGCCTCCAGGGAGATCCTCTGCGACAGGAACTACATGGAAGTAGGTCATCTTTATATTGATTCCACCATCTTGTGTGTATGGAAACGAATGCTAAAACCACCATTTTCTGTTTTAGGTTTCGCACCACATGGCTAACCTTGATGCTGAAGCTAAGGGTCAGACTCGGGATGGTAAAGACGAGAAGCTCAACGCCAAGCTTGAAGTATGTTGAATTAAACCGTTAAGATACTACAGTTTAATTCCTCCCTACACCAATGAGGATTTAATTATTATTTGTTCTTTCCTGTAGGCCTCTGGTGCATCACAAGGTATCTGGAAGATCACGTTTTACACCCCAGAACCAGTGGCCATGGTGTTGCAAGAGGCTGAACAAGCCGGCTATGCTGCCAAAACTACCTCTAGTCGCCTGGTTATGCGAAGCCCGTACAATACAGCAGAGACTTATTCAGAGGATGTAAGCAACACACTCTTATACAGTGTTCCTTTCCCTCCTTGTCAATTATATTAAACCTCTCCTCTCTTTAGGTGGCTGGAGTCCCCATGGAAGTTTTCAGGGTGAGCGCCTACTACATGGCACCACAGGGTCTGAATGTAGTGAACTTGGCAGCTGCTTGTCCCAAAGGTGAGTCCTGAGCAACATATTGCCTTCACAGTAAGCTTAATTGTTGCACAGTTAACCTCAACAGCTCCATTTTGTCATCAACAGGTGGCGTCCTCTTCACCGAGGATATGATCTCTTGGCACTTACCTCGCCGTGTGACTCCTCTGTTGGACGGCAGAATTACAGTCTCGGAAATGCACATGGGAATCAACGGGCAGAGGCTTGATAGATCTCAGATGGCCGCACGGGGGTACACACTGAGCACCACAGACTTCCACATCGTCGTCGAGATCCCAGTGGGCTCGCCTGATGGTTACTACAAGGTTGGAAATCTCTAGATTATAAATGCAAGAGTCACTAGTGCATTTGCATGTTTTATTGAAAGGTCATGAATTATTGCAGAGCCATGCCCCAGATTACCAGTACCACATCACCTACTTTGTGGAGCCCATGCTTGAGGTACTGTGGAGGGAAGATGACACCCAAGATGATACCAGATACAAGGTTTTGTTCCCCATCATGACTCCTCTGATGCCTCAATCTCCCCAAATCCAGGATGGTAAGTCACATTTTCTAGTAGGTATGAAAAAAAATGACATTAAAACTCGGGCTTGCTCGGATATATCCTAAGACTGCTAAACCCATTAAATAAAGTCTTCAGTTTTTGCAAAATGGTGTGTTTCGATGGGATTTGAAGCCAAGTACAAAATCTACTTTTGCTTACAAAGGGCACTTTTTTGTTTTTTTTAAATAGCACTCAATCCAACTACTCAATTTTTCTCTATCAATGTTGAGGCTGGTTTAGAAGTTGTAAACCTGCCACTTTCTGTTCCTCAGACACTGTCCCAGAGACTCGGGTGTTCAGCGTTCTCTTGGGAACCTTCCTCCATGACGTTGAGCTGAGGAACATCACCTTCTCCACCGGGGTCCTCACTGTTGAGGAGAGCAATGCCAAAGGCTTCACAGTCCAGGAACACAGCTTGGCTAATGGCTCCAAGAGCTTCTCTCTTCAAGTGCCCTTTGATGCCGATGTTGTCTTAAAACATGTATGACATTATAGATTCAAAATATCACTTTGTACCAGCATATTTTCAGTGCTGCTGAGCTTTTATTTCATTGGTTGCAGAATCCTGAGCGCTTGGTTACATCCTACTTCCTCCCTCTGATCTTTGGGTTGATCGTCCTGCCTGAAGAAACTCCTTTTGCTCTCCCGGTCGACCTGCAGGCCTCTCTGCAGGATGTTGGTGAGATCAGATTGAATTTGCTCTTGACAATATCTTCATGCAAATTGTGTTTTCTAAAATTAAATAAAACATATTGGAGTAAAAGCTACACCATCAAATGGATAATGCATGTTTTGCTGCTCTAGTGTTACCCATCATGGCTGGCACCTGTGACCAGAACCAGTTTTACATCAGCGTGAAGTTCGGGAGTCACGGCTCTAATTTCAAGGCTATCGTTGGACCTCGAGAGCTGACGGCTGAGATGGCTGAAGACTACAATTTCTATGAGAACGGCACACACCTCAGCCTCATTCTGCCATACACTGCCAAGGACGCTGTTTTCGAGGTATGTCAAAACTACAAAATCCCACCATAGATCTTCTACATTGGCTAACTTTACTTTCTTTTCCACAGCTGCTCACTGCAGAATCAGTCAAATCCAGAATTGACCTGCTTCTGTTGGATCGTGCAAACGACTGGGTGCTTGCTGATCTCTATCTGGCTTGCTACTTCCCCTTAAAAGCAACAGGTAAGATGGAACATGTAAGTATATTTGCTGCTTTAATTGATGGATTTGTGTTGCTTTACACATTGCCTGCTTCATCCTCCAGAGTGCCACCCCAATGGCACAATGACCGCTGTGGCTGTGAAGGTTGAATCGACTCGTAATCTGAAGCCAAGTCAGCTGACGCTAAAGGACCAGTCCTGCACACCACAGTTCAGCGACGATCGCTTTGCATATTTCTCCTTCAGTGTGGATACCTGTGGAACCACCAGAACGGTGAGTGTGAATCACATTTAAATATCAAAAGGGTTTTTTTGTCAAATGTTAATACGTTTTTGTTGTTAAATAGTTCTTTGACAACTACATGATGTATGAAAATGAGATCCGCCTGTCTTACAACAACGCCAAAGGAGCAGCCAACACATCACCAGTTGATCCTGAATACAGGTAAAACATTTGATTCTGTATAATTGGAGATGAACACCTTCAATGTATGCATTTATATATTATTTTTCCCCTAATAGGCAAACCATTTCCTGCTTCTATGTGGTCAATGAGACTCAGACTGTTGCCTTCAGCGCTAAACCAAGAACCTATGAGCCCGCTGCAGAGATCGGCACCGGCCAGCTGATGGTGCAGATGAGGCTTTCCCAAGGCATGGTGGAATTTTACAACATCTTGTTCATGCATACAAAACACTGTTTGCAGGTCTCCCTTGAAAAAGAGATCTATGATCTCAAGGGACTGATCTGATTTAAATAACGGTTTTGAAATGAAACTGTAAATGTCCAGGCCGCCTTTCTCTAACGGGACTCTTCTCCTGCAGATCCATCCTACGAGCGCTTCTACCAAGCAGAGGATTATCCAGTGGTGAAATATCTGCAGCAGCCTCTGTATTTTGAGGTGGAGCTGATGCATTCTACCGACCCGCACTTGGAACTCATTGCTGAGAACTGTTGGGCAACCCTTTATGAAGATGGGACATCTCTGCCAAGCTGGGACATCATTGTGGACAGGTAATGTTGTGCAAAACTAACTACTAACTACTCATTTCATTTGTTTAACTGCTGCTTTATTAACTTTCGAATTCCTTCACTAGCTGTGAGAATCGCAATGACAGCTATGCAACAATTTTCCATCCCGTTGTGAGTGACTCCAGAGTTTTAGTCCCGTCCCACATGAAGCGCTTCTCTGTAAAGATGTTCACTTTCACTAAAGATGACAAGGTTCTGAAAGACCAGGTAAGACTTGTAAATCCAAATCTGGAGTCTTTTAGCCACTGCTATATGTAGCCATGTGTAATAAATCATCCTGTCCATCCACAGATCTATGTCCACTGTGATGCAGTGATTTGTGACACAAGCAGCCAGGCAGATGGTTCCTGCAGAGGCCAGTGTGTGCATCCTCCAGGTCAGAGCTACTCAAGACCTGCAGGTGTAAAAAAGGGTAAGTGACCGAGTCTGAACAAATGTAGTCGATCTGGATGTGCAGTTGGTAATCTTTACTTGTTTTTCCAGAGCGAAGAAGCACCGACTCAACACGCCAAAGGCAGATCTCCTCTGGGGCAATTATTCTGTCTAACCTCTGAATATTTTCTACTAGTGTTTACATTTTGTCATTTGCACCTTATGTACATTAGTTCATTGTGTTGTTTGGGACCACGGGGACAGTTTTATCAATGAATGTACTGTACTGCCTTGTATATTGATGGATGACAATAACGACTCGTGTATTTTGAAAAAAATAAACGGAAAAAAAAAAGCCACATTTATTTATAGTCGCTTTTATCAATGTGTTGCATCTTCTGTGGTCAATTTTAAGTGACATATTAATAAAAGCAGGTTCTGTGTCAACCAGTACCCTCATAACTCCAAGAAAATGCAGAGAAGCATAAACATATGTAGCAATGATATCCTATATAATAAACAACTCAAAATGATAAGTTGATTTAGGCGCTAAATGAAAGACATTCTGAAGTTGTTATTGCCCCGCCTACTTGAGACGCACTAAAACATGATTGGAGTTTTTTTTTGTGCGTGTTGTCTATTCCGCCTTTAGGAAACGCAACAAACCTTAACAGAATTCACAGCCAATGGAGCAAGACAACCCTCAAATACTTGGAAATGCTCACTCTGAGTTTAAAAACTAGAACTTCAAATGTGCAGAACAACTGTATACAAAGTTTATCTCTTCCTACTTACAGTCCAGGTACTCTCTGTTCAATTTTTGGCGATGTCTGTAGGCTACTAGTGTTGCAGCTTATTCTGCTACCCGTCAAATTCTGTGTCCCCGGTTAACGCTAACGTCTATCGTGTTCTGTCATTTCATTACATGTATTGAGACTTTCAACGCCGTCAGATTTCCACAGGGATTGTAAAGCCAGTCATTTGGCCACTGCTTACTGTTGGGGAATATTTTCCAAGGCCCATAACTTTGACCCAGTTTATCAGTTCAAACTGTCCTGACTGAGCACACGCACCTCGTAACCTTGGCTGCTGTGCGCTCAGTGTTCTGTCTCCCTGTTCCTGCCTGTTGGCGTCAGCTGATAGAGGTGTTATGATTTTATCTTATGCAGCATGTTGATGATGCTCTCGGAACTAGCTAAATACATGGGTCTGGGGTAGAGTTATTGAGAATTGACGTGGCAACTCTACCGTGCAGTCAGATACATTATCATTACACCTGGGTAAAACGGAGTCCATTCTCTTCGGTTCGAAACATAATCTCAGCAAATCCGACGACTTCTCAGTTGCAGTGGGTGACATTGTCACAAGTAGGAAGGAAATTACATACCTAGGATCTATTCTTGAGGCAAACCTCTCCTGTGACAAAATGGCATCCAATGTAATAAAAGTCAATCAAAGAACTAGATTCCTATACCGGATCTCCTCTCTGGTAAACAAAAACACCCTGAAAACTCTGGCAGGAGCACTCATTCAAGGGTACTATGACTATGCTTGCACGTCATGGTACCATAGCACCTCCAAGGCGCTAGGGGTTTCACCGACTAGTCGACTACCTTTACCACTAGTCTTAGGCCCTAGTCAACTAGTCGTGAAAAAAATGGAGGTAAACGAGGTGCTGCAAAATGCTTCAAAACACGTCCGACATTCTTATGTATGGCAGTACTTCAACAACGATGTAACCAACTCCACAGTGAAGTGTCAGTTGTGTACAGCTGTACCGAAGTACAACAAAAATACATCTGCTATGCGCAACCATCTGAAGATGAGACTCCCGCTGCCGACAGCTAGCACTAGCAGTAATGCTAGCACCAGTGAGCAACGGACCGGCGTCAGCACAGGACAGAGGCAGACGAGCAGCAAGAAAAAACGGGTTTACTGCCAGCGGACACTGCATATCCCCACAATGGATAACGCACTGGAGTGGTGGGCAGAAAACGTGCACCGCGTCCCCCGTTTAGCCAAGCTTTCGAGGAGCTACCTGGCTATTCCAGCCACAGGCACCCCGAGTGAGAGGGTTTTTTTCCCTGGCAGGCAACACTGTCACCCGAAAGCGGTCAAGCCTCCTTCCCTCACATGTCGATGCGTTGGTGTTCCTCAACGCAAACCAACAATCTGGAAAGATGGACGTTATCGTGGAGGACAGCGAGTAAAGTGTTGCGCACTGGATTTACGTGGCATTTCAGTAAACAGAGTTTTTTGCTGTCGATTTTGGTGAGTCCAGTTACTGTTTGTTATTTACTAAGTCCAGTTACTGTTTGTTATTTACTCAGCCATGTAACACAAATTAAAATGCAGTGTTTAATGTAACTGTATGAGTTCCAATATAAAATACAGTTGTACACCTCTCTGTGTGTCTTTATTATGACGTATCGACTAGTCGACTGCTATTTTGAAAAACGTGTCGACTAGTAAATATTGGTAGTTACCTACAAGGCGCTAAAAATAAAACTTCAAACATCGCAAAAATAAACTGGTCAGACTACTGCTTGACCTTTCATCTAGAACCCACCTCACCTCTGCCCACTTTGACAACCTAGGATTAGAGTAGACGACAGAGTACAGCTACTTGCAATGGGCCTGGGTTGCGTTCCGATAATCCAAAAATCAGCTCCTAAATTCTAACCCTATCTCCTATTCCTTGACCTCTGAGTGAAACGTCACGGGGTTAAGGGATAGTGGATAGGAGAATTCAAAAGGATTTAGGAGAAGAGACCGCGGTATTTTAGAGAATCCGAATGCACTTTCACTATCCGACGTGTTTATGATGCGCCAGCGGACGTCATGAATGTGCGTCTGCTGCTGTGGGGAAACTATGGAAACTACAGTTTTCTATACAGCGGACTACAACATGAATGTTTAGTAAGAACGAGGGACTACTGTAAACTCATCTAGAGACTCTGCACCGTGCTCTGATGCTGTTGCTTTATGCTTTATGAACGTGGACAACAGAGAAACATATTCTTCATGACCAAAGTTGGAATTGAAATAAAAAAGGAAAGTGAAACTTATGCTCGTCACCCTCTCCCTCCGGTCCACATTAATACAAATGATCCCAATACGTATGATTGATGAAAAGATCTTAAAATCAATACAGATGTATTTATTATAAACGTTAGTCCTTAACATCTATCACTGTGTATATCACCATTCAAACATCTTTTAAAAGTTGAACAAACTCCACACAGCTCAGTAAAGACTGTGAAATGTTGACTTTTTTGATCATTTCAGTAAAAACTAACGTTCATATTTCTCTTTTTGATTATAATACTGATGAACATTCAGAACAAAGCACTTTGGTAACTTACCATATACGTTTTAAAATGCTTAATAAGCACCGTAACTTTCATGATATCATTTCTCGGTCATAATCGGTTGTTTCCGTGAACGGCCGACTGTTGAGTGAAGGCAAATGCTGCGGCTGCAATGCATTGTGGGGCAGCATTTTCTCCTCTCCTTTCGGTTAGGGAGGTCCAGTGGTTCCTAAGCTAAAGGAGGTTATAAAGGAAGTTTGAAACCTCCTTTCCTTTCATTTGGAGAATTGGAACGGCACTTATCATGGCTGCCAGTGACGTACTTCCGGGTCATTTCACTTGGTTAGGAAGGTTCCTAAGCTAAATGGACTATTGGAATGGGCCCCTGGTCTACAAGATCCACTACACCTCTATGGTACCCATGTACATGTCAAAATTCTTCCCAAAGGTCAAGGAATACCATGATCATAACACCAGAGGCACAAAAAAAGGGGGAATACACGTTTCGCAATTATGCCACATCAAGGTGGAACGCTCTTCCCACAACTGTAAAGGAAAGTAAAACTATACTTACCTTCAAAACCTCTCTTAAAGAGCACCTTCGGGGGAGAGCATTGCAAAACTGGCCCCGGTAATGGTACAAATCTCAACCTGCCGTTCAATGGACAGCTTCCCCCCCCCCCCCCATCTATGTATATACTCGCATTTTAGACTCTGTTACTAACTGTATATCTGTAGACTTGGTATGTCTTAAATGTCCGGTTAGGATGTATTAGAACGAAATCTAAAATGAAATTGTAAATAAGCAATCTGTATGTAAAAAACTACCTGTATATAAATTGTAAATAAGCCATCTGTATGCCATCTGTATGCCATCTGTATCTCAAATATGTCTTTTATGTCTTAAATGATATGATGAATTGGAAATGGGGGACCCTGATGTAAACAAGACGAAAGTCTTTCTCTGGTCTGCATCCCCTTAACAATTGTATGTTTTGAGCTGTACTGTATTGTACCCAATATACAAGCTGTTAATAAACTTTTCAATCAATCAATCATTCAATCGTGGCTGCTGTGACTTGTGATGTGAATTCTCCGGCCGAAGCTCCAAATAAACCATCAGTGTTTGACATCAAAGCTCCTGCTCTTCCCGTGTCTCTTTCCTGAGTCGGTGACTCCCACTGCATTGCTGCTACACAGAAGTTTCCCTTACAAATTGGCGTTGTCGGCAGGATACCAACAAATCTTCAGAACTGGTAAGTGTAATTTCAAATCTACATTTGGACATTGCCTTACCAGAATCTGTGATTGACGGTATCCTAAAATTACCTGTGAAACTGAGCGGCTGTGTTTCGTTTTTGGTTAATGAACATTTGGGGATAATAAACCCAGGGGATCAGTGTCTGGGGACTCAGTCCTGGCTGATTTCCTCTGTGTAGCTGCTCGGGACGGAAGTGCCATACAAGCATGCACAGCTCATGTTTAGAGAGACCTTAAAGAAAGGCATCAGTAAAGTGGAGCTTCTGTATGAAAGCAATGTAAAGATTTGTATTGAACGAATCGCCGAATTCTGGGGGTTTCAGCGGCCAACACAGCAGTTGAAAATAAGCAGCCAGAGATATTACTGCTTTCGCCTCTGTCAACACGGCTCCAGCTGTGATGTGCCACAATAATGTCAGCAAATGTTATTGAGTTAAAATATCAATATTGTGGCTTTCCAAGTTAACATTGTTGATATGACTGCGATTAAATCAGCATATACTTCTGCCAGGGGATGCCACCCCTCAAAATCTCCTGCCACCCTCTTGCCACCCCATGAATATTTGTCTAGATCCGCCCCTGGCAGCCAGAGATATTACTGCTTTTGCCTCTGTAAACACGGCTCCAGCTGCAGCCGCGGGGGTGTGTGTAAAACCTCCCTGTGTTTGTGGGGCTGGGGAAGTGCAGCTGAGAGGGAGAAAGTCACAGCTTTTTGTCTATAGCTTTAACTCACACCACCGCCGTCTCTATTAAAAACGAGATGGTCTAAAAGCACTCGTTGTTTGTGACCGTTTTCTACGTGCATGGTAAGACGGGGCAGCGCGAGGTGCGTGCATCACCCGATGCGCCACAGTTCCCTATACATTGCTAGAGGAGCTGGTGGCGGTCCGGGGTGCATACATAAAATTATAGGCTAATTGATCACGGGTGGGTAGTGGCAAGCAAGTGTAGAACAAAACTGTGTTTCATCGTTGTGATGAACTCGATAGCAAGTGTATAGGCTGGTCGTGTCGGACTACAGTCAACTGGGCTGTTGTGGGAGAGAAAGAGTAGAGGAAAAAGTCTGTGCGCTCCTGATCGGGGGGGGGCACAGCGCCACTAGAATAGAGTAGTGGTGTCGCAAGAGGATAAGCTAGTTATCGCTCTTGGACGGCTTTCAGGCACCGATCTAGGACTTGTATACAAGGGTGGACGCGTGAGTCAAGGCGCCCCACTAGAGATAATTCCCTACCCCCTCTGAAACCTCTTAATTCGGACTAAATTGAGCTGGATGAACTCTGCTGTCACGCTGGTCTTCATTACGAGTTCATGTTTGTTTGTCTGATTGTTTGTATGGGGGGTCTATATTGGTTTGTCTACCCGCCGTCTTGTGTATGTGTTGTAACAACTAATAATGAATCAGTCCATAGACAGGGTAAAA